GAAATATCTCTTTTTTGTATCGAAAAAATATCGAACCGTGAGACTAAAGTATTGAACCGAACCGAATCGTGAATTTTTGGTATAGTTGCACCCCTAATATATATTGTTTTTCTTTTAACTTGTACATGCATTTGTGTCTCTTAAACGCATATTCTGAAATAAAAAAGTAAATTAATTTATTTGGTCAACGTTTAGTGTTTTTATGTATTTATTTGTCCAATTATTTATTTCTGCTTTTATTTCTAATTGTGACTGTTTCGGTGCTCCATACTGTCAGGCTCTTCATTTGAAGAGTATTTGAGCTTTTTTTCAAACGCCAGGTACAAATTACTTCTTCGGATGTTCTTAAAGATTTTTATATTTTACACACTAAATTCTGACATGTCTATTAGCTTAAAAAGCTCATAATCAGAACAAATTTGCTCGAATTTTGCAAGATTCCGGAGAAATTTTTGAAAAGTTTAGACTCAAAAATCATAAAAAAAATTGCAGTTGTGTCAAAATGACAAAAAGGACAGATGACGTCCTGCTCGTACCTTTATTCTGAGAGCAGACTCGCTGTGTGTGTGGGACTTTGAAAGCTTCCTCATGATCTCCACTCCGCTGACAGGACCAGTGTTTGCTTCTTTAGGGAGGGGGCGACTGCCTGTTCCCTCCAGCAGCATGGTGTGTTCACTCACTGTGGCTTCACAATAACAAGATCAAATAAAACTCCCAGAAAAACATAAAAAACCACTTATATGAAAAAGGTCATCTGAACACTATTTATATTTGAGTTTATTTCTAAGCAATAACTAACATGAAGACTGGAGAAGCTGTATGTTCCCACCTGCATCGTATTCAAACTCTGCTCCATCAGCGCTGGTGTCRCTCTGCAGAGCAGCTCCATTGTCCAGACCCATCCGATCTCCCAGGTTTGGCTGAGGCTCTTTGGCCTTGGTAAGCTGGTTGGGCCCCATCAGACCAATAGCCTTGAAGCCTTGAGTTACAACGATGAATTTCATCCACTGTCTGGCCAAGGCCACCAGACCCTTCTTCAGAGTCACCAGGGCTGGGACCCCATCATTCTGGGAATAAAGGAGCATTAAGTGAAGGATCCAGATGTTTGATCACTGGAACAGAAGAGAATCAGGCTGACACCGACCATGGTGGCCTCCTCTATGACTGAATAGTCGGCTTGCTGCAGGTAGCGGTGCAGGATGTTGCAAAGCATGCAGGAGGGATTCTCGTGCAGGTAGCGGGCTCGCTTAGTCACACGGTTGTACTTGCTGCGGATCGGGATGTGGATGCTCTTTTTCTGTTGGATGAAAACAAACGGTTTCATCCAAAAAACAACAACAACAACAAAACAAGAAACGCTGTTTATGGGATGTGAGGAGAGCTCACCTCCAGAGCCTCCGTCATGATGCAGCCCATCACAGCACACACCCGCAGCGTGCCCTCCATGTCCAGCTTACGGAGAGAAGACTTGAGCTGGTCGATGGGAACCAGCCAGGCTCCGATGGCAGGCGTTGCTGTGCTGAGCAGATTCAACTGGCTAAATACACAAAAAAACACAAGACCTCACTTATTAACTATTGATTAATAAATATAAGGTAAATACATTTTTATTTTTTTCCGTTAATAGTAATTGTTATGCATCTTTTAGTCTACAAAAATCTCAACAGGCTTTGTAGTTTTTTTCTTTCTAAAGCGCCAGATGTGTTGAGTTATAATCTCTCAAAATTTTTATAAATCTCTTTTAAAAACATATTATTATAAGATGGCTTTTAATTGTTGATTTTTGCATGTTTTAGTTTTATTTGTGCTATGTTCTTATGTGTTTTTTTTTTAAATATGATGTAAAGCACTTTGTAGCTGGGTTTTGAAAGGTGCTATACCAATAAATGTATTATATTTGTTTGTCGGAGGGATGGTCTTCGTTTGTTAAAGCAGAATGAGTGAAATGAATTAATGAGGCCCACTTTATAAATCTGTTTTTAACTTTAGACTTTGGGTAAAATATTAAGACTTTTCAAGTGAGCAAGTTCAAATCAAATTAAAATCAAATCACAAGTCTGAGCATTTTTTCAAGTCAAATCTAAAGTTCTAACATTAATGACTCGAGTMTCCACCTCTGGAACTGTGACACTGACTGGTTTGACATTTTCACTAAATGATAACACTCAATGAGAGCCGTTGACAGAAAATATTAATTAATATTCATCTTATTAAACCTTACAGGGAAAAAAATATTCAAACTTAAAACTATTTTGGTCCATTAGCTCATAAATATTCATCTCGGTTTAAATGATGTAACCGTTTCTGTGGTCAGAGCACCTGGATATGGTCTGTGAAGCTGAGCGAACGTTCGTGGGAGCAGCAAAGCTGAACCAGATCTCTCTGATGGTCAGCTTCATGCTGCTGGAATCAGGTGGTGGAGGCATGAGRGGGAGGTCCTTTTTCAGGTCGTCTGACTCAACACCTTCATCCTGAAAAGCAGAAAAGAATAAAAAAACAAATGGTGCTTTCATTTGTGCTTTTTATAGAGTCCATATTTCTGCTTAGATTTTGGGCTGCAAGGCTTCCATAAAGTAAGCCATAATCCAAACTCTGAATAGATGAGGCAGAATCCAACAGGCTTCTGAGGTACCTGTTGGACGACTTCACATTTTAAATGAATTTGATGTTTCTTTTCTGTTTTACTCAAATCACTTCCCACTTTTCCTGCCTCTCACCTGGTCGTCTGAGTCCGTGTGCTCGTTGGCGTCAGAGTTGGGACTCRTGGCGTCAGGCGGCAGGTTGTCATCAGACATGTCGGTGCTGTAACCGCTTCCTGTTTGAGAACCTGTCGAACCGTTGGTTTTGGACACTCCTGTTTTCCCTCCAGTATCTGAGCAGCCCATCACACCGAACGCGTTGTAAAGAATGGCTCCAGACTGGCGACCACCTGGGACACAAGGCGCGACGTTTTCACAGAGCCTCGTCTTCAACGTCACGTCGTTCTTTTTCAGAACCGACGAAGGAGTCGGGATTTATTTACCTTTAACCGTAAGGTTCTCGATGCCGCATTCGAACATGATCCAGCCCCACTTCTCAAGAGTTGTGGCAGAGCGGCTCAAATCTGTTCCTGCTGCCTGAGCGTCCGTTTCATCCACCAATGAAAACTCCTCCATCTCCTCCAGACCAAACAGCACTTTGGACTTCTCAAAAGGAATGGCTGTGATGGCAAACGTGCCGGTGTCTACAGAGAGAGTTCAGGCAACAGTTAGGAAGCAACATATTTTTAAGCACTGAAATTCGAGGTGTGTTGAGAGGTCAGACTTCGGACCCGACCTATCCAGTCCAGGCCTCGAAGCTGGCTGTGGATCCGGTGGACATTGAGCCTCGCAGCTATCTCTTTGCCTTTCTCAATTCCTGCGTTGGAGCGCAACGAGCCCGAAGACTGAGGCTGCATTTTGGTAGCTGATGCGTACTTCTCTAACATAACAGAGGGTCGGCCGTGTTCGGTGGTGTTTGGAGTCTCCTCTACGATACCCCTGCAGGGACAGGAGAAAAATGTGAGTTTTRAGTCTAAACACGACTTCAAGTGTATGATAAAAGTTTTATAGTGCACACTTTTTTGGCAGTGAGGATGAGTTTAAAACAAAAGACCAAACATTTATCAGGTGGCCACAAAGTCTCACCTAACTTGGTCCAAGTTAGTTATTAAACGTTTCATCTAAACAGCCTCAATTAAAAACGTGACCCATGCATGCTGGCCACCAAATAAAAAAATCATATTAAAAAAAAGATATGATGAGCTGTAGAGGTACCTGTTCATCCTGAACTGAGTCGCTATCCTGTCGAAGCACAGGGCAACCAGAGACACATGTGGGATGCACTTACTGGAGCAAGACGGTGACCCTTCTTCTACAGAAGCCTGCAGGAGGCAAAGATTCACCTACACACAAAAACAACCAATTAAAACTAACCACAACTGTGAAAAAAACTTAAAAAAAAAAAAGAACTTGAAAAAAATAGAATAATTTCCAGCTACTTTTTCCAACACTAATAATGAACAAATCTGATGTCAAAGGGCAAAAGCTTAAAAAGCACAATCTGTTTCTTAACTCCTATAAATATAAAAAGGGGCTTAAAATGCTCCTGGCTCCTGGTCAGAGTCCAGTTTGAGGACTACTGTCAGGCTGTGATTAATCTAAGTCACATGTCTCACCTTTGGGATAGAGACGTTGGCTTGAAGGCCCTTGATTTTCACATTGTCTGGTTTGACGGACAGCTCTGTTTGTCCATGGGAGGCGTTAAGCGAGCCAGGGGTCGGGCCCTCCGTCTTGGACAGCTTGTGCTCCTGCTTGCCTGCTTGGCTCTGTGAAAACCCCACGCAAAAACAATTAAATGTAGAAATCAATCAAAGGGCGATCAGCTTGACTTTAGTTTACTTTTAAAGCGAAAAACAGAAGCGGCTGATGCTCTGTTCAGTGAGGGGAACGTACCGACTCGGTGACTGTGGACTTGCTGATCTGATAGGCTTCGTTGAGGACTTTACCATGCAGGTCATCCAGAATGGCTGCTGGGTGTCGAATACTGACAAAGTGGACCATGGACTCGATGTATCTAAAACGTGCACACACAAGATTTAACAAAAGTCTTAAAACAGTCACCACAGATTACTTTATTCAAGTTCTAGCACAAGGCTGGACCCACAAGATTATACTCAGAATCCCTGGCAGGGTTATTTTAGATTCAAAATGAAGTATGAGAATGGATTAAAGTGGCTTAAAAGAAAATCTTAGCTTCAAGCTAAAAATAACCCTAAACTGTGAGAAAGGCTTCGAGGCAACAATCAGATTATTTCCCAAAGTTGGAGCAACATATTATGGAGGAACATATTACAGAAAGACCGAATGGTACCTGTCTAGAGATTCGGCTACGAGCGGCGTGAGCACCACATTGATGGCCCCCTTCACTTCCACTATGGCGGTGGTCCTGGTCTGAGCCAGGGGTTGCTCCAGACTCCAGTCATCTGTCGTCGTGTCCTCGTCTGTGTTTTCCATGGCCCTTTTATCTAAGGGGGTGTAAGGTGTACTGTGGAGAGGACAGGAAATGAGCGAATCAAGGGTCAAACACAGGAGAAGTTAACTGAGGCGGTTTATGTATCATCAGTGAACAATACATTTGATTCCATTTACCTGAACATTTTTTAATGAATCCTTGCTTATTCCAAAGATAATATACAGTAAGTTGACAGGCAGACTAATTAGGCCCTATATCTTTTTAAAAATGTCAACAATTAAAAAGTTTCTACGCCACAGATGTTTGAATGGTTTTACCCGTTGCTCTCCCCCATCAGTTGAAGTCCTCGATCTAAGAGAGAGCTGGCTGAGAGGCCCTGCTTTATCACCTGGAAAGCAGAAGAGAAYGGTATCTCAGTGTAATCGTACTGAATCAATGGTGCATACAACTAACCAAAATATTAGCTTCACTAACACCTTTCCAATTTCATAACCAATTCCCTTAGTTGCGCTAATGATTAAAAGCTAAATAAAACTAAATTTAGGGGAAGCTAAAGCTAAAGTGGCAATATTAATCATCATAATATTCAGTCCACCATGTGAAACTCKGTACAGCACCCTTCTAGTGTTCATTTCCCCTCCCTGTTCCCCTGGCTCAGACCTCAGAGGAATGGTTTCACATTTACTGTCAATAACTAAACTTCAACACAGATATCAAACCAAACCTAAATGTGTAATGTGACAAACGTAAATCAGCACAACTCAAAATGCTTCATAGACCAGAGATAAAAACATTTATTTCTCTTTTAAAGGTGAAAATAAAGAAAATAGTTTGTTTCTGTTAGGCCAAGAGGCRGAGCTACAACTGCTGAAACCAAAAGAGCAGACAGGAGAGGAGGGAAAGAAACTGGAAGTGACAAATTTCAGTCTTTGAAACTGTGCTTCTGCTAATTTAGTTCTCACATTTAAACATTATTAACACTAAAAACCAATATTTGTATGACCTAGATTAAAGCAAAGCTGTGTCTCTTTGTTTAATTTTTATTATTTCGCAACAAACTTAGAAAATGCTTAGAAAACTGAAATTGTGAGTGTGATCTGTGACTCTGGTCTGTGAATGCCAGTCTAATCCAGTCTTTGTTCCACCGGTGGGCAAAAAACTATTTGTTTAATGCCTTTAAACATTTCCTGACATTTCCAGATGCTACCTGGGGCATTTTTTTGAAAACCAAGTTGTCAGATGACTTCCTCTGTTTTTACCAGAGCTTGATACCCTTAAAAATGCTTAAAAAAAATGTCAAAAGGTCTTTTAGGAATTTTGGGGGCCAACTGCTAAGTTAATGAACGTCACTGATGCAGGTAAAAGGAAATGTTATTGAATTTAGTAAGAACATGGTGATGTGAATTTTAGCATTTTTAAAAAGTAGAGAAACTACTGAAAATATAGTGGAAATAAAGTTAGTTAATACATTATAAAATTAATGCCAATGCTAAACCAAAAAAATAGAAAAATATTAGTTCTGCTATTACCAGATGAGCAGAACTGTGCCCACCGCTGAACTGAACCTTTAACAGTATTACAGTGCAAACACAGTTCGGTGTAACGTGTGAACAGAATCAGTAAAAAAAGTTCATGTCAGACCTTAAAGCTGGGGACAGACAGCTGGTCAAAAGARGCGGAGCTCTCTTCACTTGTGGGCGTGTCCAGATCAAGAGGGCGGTGCAGAGACGATTTGGACGTCCTCTTGTTGGTTGGCTGTTTGACAGACCAATTGGAAACCTGACAAAAATGAAGTGAAATGTTAAAGTATGTYAACATGTCGGGCCTCATAAACAGCACTGTTCTGTACAGGTGTAGAACGACAGCACGCACCTGGTAGTGGGCTAGATAGTTCTGGTAGCACGCCATGACGTGGGGCTGTCGAGTCACTGGGCCCGGTTCAGCCGTCTTCTCCGCCTCCACAGAGCTCTCCTCCTCCATGGCCAAGGCGGACACGAAGGAGGCTTGGGAGGTGTGGGTGGCCAGAGGCTGGGGGGGMAGTGGAGGCAGGATCGGGGGAGGTGGCAGAGGACGGGGCTCGGTGATCAGTTCCCCATTGAGCAGGTAGGTGAGGGGACCCTCAACGCTGTGGTAGATCGAACTCCGGCTGGAAAAACATGAGTAATTTATAGATAAAAATACTGATAAACTTTACAGAAACAAACAGTATGTGGAGACATTACAGTTTATATTCACAACTTGTGATTTTTTTTCTCATTTGCAAAGTTCTATTTCCTAATTAACCCTGACAAACAAAGACGACGATGTCAGAACTGAGCCTCTCGGGTGACAGCTGAAAGGTTTCATGATTACTTGTCTTCGTCTTCGGGCTGCGCTGACACAAAGGCATGCTGTAATCAACGTGAAAACAATTTGTGCTAACAGAAAAAAGGACGAGGTAGTTAGAGACCAAGAGTGAAAATCATTTTGTAAAACATTCCAGTGGTAAGTGGCTACCCGTGGATCAAAACCTCTCATTWGCACCAATTCTTCCACATCACGGCCATCTGTGCACGTATGACCGAGGGAAAGTAATAAACTAAAGCTGCAACGTGTTTAGCCTCGARGAAAGTTGCTTTTTGCAATGAAATTCACAATTTGAATTAAAAAAAAYCTGCATAACAMAGTTAATGTATTCMTCCTCATTGTTCCATCAGGACATTTTACAGTAATTGAAAAGAAGACATTGTGATTCTTATGAGGTCATTTGAATTGGCTGGTTAAAGCCTGTTTTTAATTAAAACGTGCACTTTTCAATAGGGATGTAACAATTGATAAAGAATCAATTAATAACTGATTATAACTGCTTAAAATGTGAATTGTTATTGTATAACAGGAAGTTATGGCTTTAAGATGGTTTTCAGTTTGATACTCGATAACGTTTGGTCACCGAAGGATTTGTGGCGACATTTTTATTAATTTTGAAGTAATATGTTACTAAAACACACCATTTCTATTATTGATTGAAGGACAAAAATGCTGATGTTTAAAGAAAAGAAACATATTTGGTTATAAAATGCCTAAATTCATTAAAAAAATTAATCAAAAATAATCATAATCATGAACTTAAAATCAATAATCAAATTGAATCAGGGTTTCAGTGAATCATTACGTCCCTACTTTATTAGCTTTTAAATGTTTGTCTTTGAAAGATAAAAAGGTTTATCAACCTTCATTAAACAGTAGTGCTTTTTTCATACTGAGGTTTTGTTAGACCTTTCCTAAAAAGATCATAATTAGAAATACATTATATACTCATTACTGAAATTAAGGTATAATCCATTATTTTAGCCTGCTACATAATCTGAGACTGCAGTTTGTCTCCTCTCAGATTACAGGAGCTTTTTGGGGAAGAATAACACAAACTAATTTAATTGTTTAAATATCTGACCTGTAGTTCTCCATGTGATACGGGGGCTGCTGCGGCTGCTGCATCTGCTGCCTCCTTTTCTTCTTGCGGCCCGGGTACGTCCCCGGACCCTCGTCGGCGCTGCTGATCGGCTCGAAGTCCTCGGTGGCGGAGTAGTAGGCCTCGCTGTCGGCCACCGACATGCTGGAGTCGGCGGAGCGGTACTGGTGGAAGGTGTTGGAGTCTGCCGACGGCGTGAAGGGAAACGAGCCGTAGCTCCTGCGCTGGCGAGGAGAGTCCAGGACGTTCTCGTCGCTGCGGGAGACCTCGCTGCTGAACTGCACGCCTCCGGAGAGCACCGGAGGCGGCTTGTCGGTGAAGACGGCGGCCGACAGGCTTTTGGTGCTACCCAGCCGACAGGAGTGCACGGACGACTGGCGCTTGAGGGGAGAGCAGAGGGGTGAGCGGACCGAGGTGCGATCCTGGGAACTGTTGGGTGAGACGGGGGAGACCTCTGGAACGTCTCCCAACGTGCTGCGAAACAAGAGCAAATGTMACCCCTGCAGCACTGGAATCATTTGATTACAATCAGAGTAAATAAAATCATAAATCTGTCACGTTTGTCAGCTCTTGTATGGTGGGATTTGTTACATACTCAGCGTGGCTCCTGCCGTTCACAGGGCCCAAGCGCTCCTCGTGGCTCGGCGAGGGCGAGTCTCTTTCTCCGGCCAGCAGAGGCAAGGCAGCGCTGGAGGTGCTGTTCTCTTCAGAGGAGGAGGCGGAGCTGTGGGAGCGCTGGGGAACCTGGAGGCTCAGGTGTTGCTGACCACGCCTCTCAGGCAGCTCAGGAGGCAGGGAGGGAGAGTGTGTGTCTGTTTTGTGCCCTACGGCCCTCCCTAAGAAAACATGGGGACAACGTCAACTCTTTTTGGTTTCGTTTCTACATATAACCTTAATTTGAACATGGTTTTAACTAGACAAGGCATTAAAAAAAACAAAAGTTGAGAATTAAACTCTACATAGATAAAACAAGTAATTATTCCAAGCAGGAAAGGAAGGCCTCTGTGCTTTATTAATGAATTATAAAAATGTGGACTGCAGCTAAAACTTCATTCAGCTTCAGATCCGCAACAAATCCCTGGAGCCACTCCCTCCTGCAGATAATATCAGGAAGTGTTAGCAAATCTTTACTAATGCGTACCATCCACTTTAGGAGTTTCTTTAGTAATGATCCACTCCCCAGGCTGCAGCAAGGACTGGCCATAGCACATGTCCATCTCCACGCTGGTGGAAGAAAACGCAGAGGAGGAGGAGGGCGTCAGCTCCTCCAGCCTGAAGTAGTCCAGGCCCATGTTGGTACCACCGAAGAACCTGCAGCCTCCCAGGCAGCCACAGCGATTCCTGCTTCGCTTGTTGCGAACGTTGGCCTCGTCGGGCCACAGGAACCAGAGTCTGTGGAGAAGAGGGGTCAGAGGAGTGAATGGAAGTAGCTTACTGTCATCTACATCCCCAACTCCAATGAAGTTGGGACGTGGTATGAAACATAAATAACAGAATACAACGATTTGCAAATCCTTTTCTACCTATATTCAATTAAATACGCGACAAAGACGAGACTTTTAATGTTCAAACGGATAAACTTCATTGTTTGTTTGCAAATATTGACTCATTATGAATTTAATGCCTGCAACACRTTCCAACAAGCTGGGACAAGGTCAAACAGAGATGGGGAAAGTTGAGGGATGTTCAAAAAACACCAGTTTGGAGCATTCCACAGGTTCATTGGAAACAGGTGAGTTTTATCCATCCATCTTCTTCCGGTTACCTGGGATAGAGTCGCGGGGGCAGCAGCCTAAGCAGAGAGATCCAGACTTCCCTCTCCCCAGCCACTTGGACCAGCTCGTCTGGGGGAATCCCAAGGTGTTCCCAGGCCAGCTGAGAGACGTAGTCCCTGCAGCGTATCCTGGGTCTTCCTCTGGGTCTCCTCCCAGTGGAACATTCCCGGAAAGCCACACCAGGAGGCATCCTAACCAGATGCCCGAGCCACCTCAACTGGCTCCTCTCGATGTGAACGAGCAGCAGCTCTACTCTGAGTCCCTCCTGGATGACTGAGCTTCTCACCCTATCTCTAAGGGAGAGCCCAGACACCCWGCGAAATAAACTCATTTTGGCTGCTTGTATCTGTGATCTTGTTCTTTCGGTCACCAACCAAAGCTCGTGACCATAGGTGAGATTTATGTAAACCAACAAAGTTGATCTGTTTGAACATTAAATATCTGGTCTTTGCAGTGTACTCAGTGGAATGTAAGTTGAAAAACATTTGCAAATCATCGTATTCTGTTTTTTATGCTTTACACCAGTGATTCCCAACCAGGGGTATGTGTACCCCTTGGGGTATGTGAGCATATTACAGAGGGTACGTGGAAAAATTTCCCACGTGTGTAAAAATAAATAAATAAAAATAGGACTGAGATATGTAGGGCCCTATGATTTCCACAAGGTGGAAAATGCAAATGGAATCATGAAATTGACACCAAATGTAATAAAACACAGAATCCCACAAAATTTGCTCATTTGGGGTATTTGATGTGTTTTGGACGCTGCTGCTTCCTGCACCTGCCATTACCTGGTTTATATATTACTTATTTACTTTCAAGGCAACGTTTTTATCTTTCTTTTATTTGAGTTGAAAAGAATAAAATGCCTGAGAATTAAATGTTCTATGGAGTTAATGAATAATTTTCATTTAATAATCAATTGTAGTACATTATAGTTTTGGAGAATCATCATTACGTTTGACAGAGGGGGTACTAGTGGTATGACAGAATGGTTCAGGGGGTACACAAGTCTAAAAAGGTGGAACCACTGATTTACACAACATTCCAACTTCATTGGAGTTGGGGTTGTAATAAGCAACCTGCTTCCAGTTTGTTTTGCATTTCTCTCTTGTCAAGAGACCCGACCGCTCCAGTCGTCACTAGGATTGGAATCAGACCAGCAGAGAACCCCGCTCTAACCTGTCCTGCCGTCTCCAAATTAACAGAAAATGCCACACCACCTAATTAGAAAGATAGGTCAGTATATTAGAGCATTTTATTTTTATCACCATCAATTATTAATCAATATTCTTAATCTGTATAACCAAATGTGGCATTTCTTGCAAATTCCTATTAAACTGCTTACAGCATCATAAAGACAAATTCATGGCTGGACATTGATTTTTTGAGTTGTCCTTTAAGGTTTTTCTCTGATTACATGAGAGTCTTGTTACTGTAAAGCAACAAGGTAATAACATATTAAAGAGTATGGTTACTTTGAAGCCAAGAGGTAATAAAATGAGGTCATAGATCACTAATAAGTTCATTTTTAATGCTTATTAACCTGGGGAGACAGGATAACTCCCCTTTAACAGTTCCCTTGAGACCTACTGTACAGGTCACCAAATGTCATCTCGACCACAATAAGAAGTGCACATCCTACGAGGGAGCGGCTACCAAAGAAACAGTAGTGACCGGCAGCTGGAGGCGTCCTGAGCGACTACGCTGACCCAGAGGCCGGGGTTCACGAAGGGAGAGACTACTGGAAGGAGGGYAGCTGGAGGCCGAGCTCAAGGCTCCCGCCTGATGACTCCCGGAGGAGACACGTCAGACTCAGCCGCACCGGTCACCCCCAGGTGGCTGTAGGTCCGGCCCATCKCCTCCAAACCAAGAGGGAGACATCGTCTCCTCTCCAAGACCCATCAGTGTCCTAGTGGGTAAACTGGAGGAGGAGCCCCAACGGATTTCACTCTACAGTGACAATACACTGATACATTACAAGCCTAAAAGACAATATTTACTGTGTTAAAAAAATGTCATTATAACATTAGGACACTTTTACTGTTATATACCATTAGAAACTGTAAACAGCTCATTTAGTTTAAAATATCTGCAGCGTGTCAGGAGCTGAACATGATGCAGTCAGTGACTCACTCTACAGAGGTGTGATAAAAGGGAATGACTCAGCTCAATTGTGAAATAACTTTCAGCATTTACACTCGAATGAAATATGCTTTTACAACCACTGGCAGCCTCAATTAAGCCACAAAACGCAGTCAAAATCAAACATGGAGTGAAGCAAACTAAAGTAGAAATTACACCTTTTCCCTAAAACCCAATGAACAAAAAGTTAAATAATAGATTTTGGTGACTTTCACCTTTTGGTCTGAGCATCGTGTAGTTCCAAAAACTGCCTCTGGACTTCACATTTGGCTGGGTGGTCAGCAGCCAGGGCAATATCCGCCGTGATGAGGTTCAGCTTGACTGAACCCGCCTCCAGCCAGACAGAACGTCGCAACAAGGGGGGTTGACCCAGACCCAGCGGCTGACCCGGACCTTGACCCTGTCCAGCCAGCTGCAGCCTGGCCGCCTCGTTGTGCTGCTGCTGTTCGATGTACTGTCGCACATTCATGTCCTGCACCACGGCGCTGATGCCCTCTCCCACTGCCTGGTTGTGCAGGTTGCAGTTGGCTACGCGGATAATACCCGTCTGAAGGGGAGAACAAAGTAAAACAAAATAAAAAAAATTAATCTGCCTCACAAATCTGCACAGAAATTATCAACTGATAGCAAATCAAACACTTTACTCCTTATTCGACAGTTCGTCAGCGCTCGGAGCTAATTACCTTGACATTGGCAGCACAACCGTGCTCCACGACAAACAGGTCGACTCCATCCATGGCCAGCCTCGTCATGGTGTACTTCAGCTCCTCTGATGTGCGACAATGCCCGGGCATGAAGCTCAGCTGAAAGACAAACACTGCTTAGAAACTTTTCTGTGCTTTTTACGAGGCAAGCTCCGAGTTAGTCTTTACATTTTGCTCCACTGCCTGTGGCCACAGCTGCTCAGTTGTCAGAATATAATGAGGGCTCCCAGGCAGAGATTTTAAAAATACCCCTATTAGTATTCCTATTTAAACAAGATGTTCTGTTTTTTTCTGCATCCTACTGAAGGTATCCCTGTGGTGTGTATGTTTTCTATGTATGTCAGCTGCGAGCTTTGTGTTGAGTGTTTTTCTGCTTCTCAGGTCCTTTCTGAGTCATACTTCGTTAGAGAAAAGTTTCTGTGAGCTTTGTTTACTTCTGATCTGAACATTTCAGTTCACACAGAACAGCTCTGACCAACATTTAAATCTCACTGTTTCACTGTAATGATCTCATTTAGGGGTTTACAGAGTGAAATGTACGGAGGAACGAAACTGACATCATTAGAAATAAAAGCATAACTATATAAATGGACCAATAAATAAATACATTTATAATGCACCAATTAAATAAAAAAGAGAAAACATTACCTCATGTTTTATAATTTAATTGACCTTCATATTTATTTTCACAGCTTAGATCCAGTAAATTATATATTGTAGCACAAAATTTACATTTTAATGTTATAAAAATATTTTTTATTTGTTCTTTTACCTGTAAATGCATCTGTCTCTCAAATGATTTGATTTAGTAATTAAAAAAAAAAATTTCCACAAGTCTTTATTTTCATGTGTTGCTTTTACATTTCTTTGTCTCCTGTTTTTACTTTACCTTCTGCATTTCTGCCTCATTATTTAAATAAGGTGGGCGGGCCTTCCTGGGTCAGCTTCTCTTCTATTGGTCAACAGACAGGAAGGAGCAGGATCCATGTGCAGATCTACTGTGCATGCTTGTGCTGCCTCAGGTTAACTTAAAGTTTTATTAAAAACAAAGGCAATGAGGAAACACTTACTTGTGCATATATATATGTGTATATATATATATATATATATATATGACCTAAATATTAGTACATTTTATGTATATTTATTGGTACATTTTAAGTGTATTTACATATTTATTTATTTATTGGTCCAATTATATATATTTCTGCTTTTATTTCTAATTATGTCAGATTCGGTCCTCCAAAGAAATGTAGAAACATAATTTAACCAAAGTGTGACAGGAAGGTGGGGAAGTGAGCACAGTTTAGAGTGCATCCATCGTTTCATCGTTTGGTGTCTGTACCTTGGCGTCACAGATGCGACGATCAACACCGTGCTGGCAGATGACAGAGGGCTTAGGTTGCTCCAGCTGGAAATCTCGAGACAAAACGTGGAAGATGAAAGTCTCTCCCCACTCGATCATGCTCGCCACCTAACAGCCACAAATATACAGACTTAGAATAGAATAAAAACCTAACACTGAGTTCTGACAGCCTGAAGATAAAGCAAATGTTATAAATTAAATTTACATTTGAAATCTACAGATTATCTAAAGATGTGTGAATGTTTGTATTTCTAATCAAATAGCTCCCACATTCACACATTACCTGGAGAACGCAACCCACCTGAGGAACAGTGACCCTGCCGGTGAGCGCTCCAGCCTGCATGTCGATGAGCCACGCATACTCCAGCGTGTCACTTCCCAGGGGAAGGCCCTGAGCCGAGAACATAGCATGAGCCCTCATCTGCAGCCCAGACAGGCTCAGGTGCCCATCTCTCAACACTCCATCCGCTGTGGGACGCTGCAGGCAAAATAAACCACAACACATCACATCATCATCAGCATCATTTTAAGGAACTAAAAATACCCGAAAAAGCTGAATTGATTTTTTTTAGTTTAGTTTATTTCAAACATGTATGGAAAACAAAAAGAAAAGATAACAGAATTAACACATTTGAAAAGAAATGTGAAGAAGTAAAAACTTATTTAATCCCACCCTTCTCCAAAGCTTACTAAAAATAATAAATTCTTCTGTTTCCTTATTCTAAATCACAATTCCATTAAGACTGACAGAATAATCAGTTCACCTACTAAATTACAATACAAAAATATACATATATGTAAATATACATCTACATACATACACATCATCAGTGTGTTACTTTTCTAGACACATTTTATTTATTTATTTTTGTCAAAATACGCATTAACATTTTATATACACCTACACTTTCAGGTAGATATACAAATCTATATAGAGTTACGTATAGTACACATACATACCAGAGGTGTAACCATACAGTGCTTTAGGTTCAATACACACTATGTATGGAACAATACAGATGTTTAACATTTATTTGATCAACATGTCTTCTGAAGATGCTCTGTGTTGAAGGATCAGTGAATCTGTGTTCGACTACTCCACCTGGGCTGCAGTGTGGAGCACAGATCTGAGCACTGAGAAACTTGCTGTTTCAGCAACATTTAATTTAAAAACTGGACTTTTGAGGTTCAACAAATGTTCAGAATTAATTTCAATAAATTACATGTTAAGAAGGGCATGGACATTTCTCTTTTTTGTATCGAAAAAATATCGAACCGTGAGACTAAAATAACGAACCGAATTGTGAATTTTCTGTATGTTTGCACCCCTAATACATACATGCCTACACTTTGTACTTAAAATAAAAACAATAAATAAAATCTTCTAATGCTTGGTTCACATGGCAAGATTTTAAAATTGTCGGTTGTTTTTCAAAGACTGAGAGCCATCACAATAATTGGAGTGACCTTAAGATTGCCGGAAGGGCAATCTGGCCAAAAATCAACACAATTGCCTTGAGGGGCGAACCAGACATAAATAATGTGTCAAAGATTTGGAAACAGTTGTGTAGTTGTGGATATTACCTGGTAGTTGTCACTGACAAAGATGTGGATGGGGGACAGAATCATCTGGAGCATTGTCTCCTTGTAACCTTTCTTCATTTCAAAACAAAGTCGCTCCAAAAAGCCTGATGGACCTTCTGGACCTTCACTGCTGCAGTGCTACAACAACCACGAAGCGTAAATATATAATAAATTGTGCAGGTCAAAAAACATTCCACCCTTAAATAAAGTAAAATAAATATTCTTGTTWGCTCTAATCTTAAATTCTTCTTTTGTTTTTAAATTGCAAAACTAAACTTACCACTGGCAGTCGCCCATGGACTTTGTAAAGGTTGATGAACACGGTGATGTCCCAGGGTCGCAGGTCAAGCGGATGGACGTCTGGGGCTTCTTTCTGTTCGCTGTCCTCCATCCCCAGAGGAGACCAGCCGAGGCCAGAGGAGGCAGACGCAGACAACACGGGGCTGGACGCGGCCTCTTCAAAGTCTGTATACATATCATCCTCCCCAAAATAGTTTTCCTGTGGGATCGATGGAAAAAAAAAAATAAAAGAGCTTAGAAAGTTCTTTAGAGGAAAGTAATCTTTAAAAGTTCACTACTGAAGGACCTTGATGGAGATCAGGGCTCGAAGCAAGGGCCCATAGAGAAGAATTTGAGAATTGGGTGACATTTCCATCTCCACGTGAAGTCGGTCAGGGGGCAGCTCTGACGGGTCGGCGGGAACCCGACTGTGGGCGGCTGAAGCAGATGTGGAGGTGTAGTGGGGTGGGGCACTGGCGGGTACAGAGGGGTGCTCTGGGGGCCTCAAAGCCGACAGCATGGACTCCTCCATCTCAGAAACTGGATCATTCACACACATCACATCACACAAACTAGATCAACATGAGAGAAAAGGACAGCAACAAGCCTGAAGGTTGAATCTTTCAGCTCACATGACTGTTTGAGCTGCTCGTCTGCCTTCTGGGGATAAATGGGGTGCCAGGTGTAGTCGATGATGAGCAGGAAGTTTGGCACGCTCCAGCAATCCACCCAGCCAGCTCTGTGTAAAGATGACAAAGACGTACGCTCAGGACGCAGTTCTCGTGCTGCATCATCATTTCAAGCGGCTTTTTCCACGTCATCACTCGCCTCATGATCCGTTCAGATGAAGGACGTACAGTAAAGGGAGCTGGGAGCAGACGGGTCATGCCCAATTTCTCTGCGGCGCAAAGTGTGCTGGTCCAGAAAGTATTTGATCATAACCTCACAGGAGGTGCAGGGGTCTCTCACAGTGGTACGTCAGCAGAGTGGGGATCAGGGTTTTTATACAAAATAACTGATCCGAATGTGGAGTTTTTACACACTGAGKTACAGTGGAACTCTGAGACCTCAGATCAGTTTTCTCCTTGGCATAGAGGCCTACTGCATATTCAGCTAACCTGGGATTTATATACAACCCTGAGCAAATTAGTTTGCAAAGACAAACATATTTTTAGAAGGTAAATATGAAGAGAGCTTAATAAAAAGACGACACRGTTAATAATTGTGCAGTAAAATGGTGGCAATGGGCAAAGGCAAACAAAATTGCAATTATTACTAATACYAATATTGAAAATTTAATTACCGAGACAAGTCAAAATTATGAACTAATAATATCCATAAGCCTTCTCTTCAACAAGACACCACCTCACAGCAAATCACACTCTGTTGACCTTTACTGGCTTCATTTTAAAGCACAAGAATAGATGCCTCACAGTTAGGCTTGGGCGGTWTGATGGTCTTTTGGTATTAAAATATGGTGACAGAATTTAAAAATGATAAATGATTTAATCATGTTTCCTGGAAATTTCCACAAGGCTGCTAAGAAAACTGGGACAAACATTCTAGGCTCTTTCAGAAGACGGTGCGTGACGTAAAGTCTTGGTTATACTTCAATACGACATGAGACAGTGTGTCGGTGATTGCGTCATTTTGGACGTCTTTTTCCTGACCGAGTATAAACGGGCTAAAGACGCTGCGGACCATAAATTATCATAATTMCTCCCTCTTCCCTCCCACAGGTCATATATTTTTGATTGGTTGATTGATTTTTATTTATTTAGTCATATAAGTTTATAAACAACAATACAGGTGGCTGGATATTGTGGCTTTTTTTTCAATAAACGATCAGTAGCTGTGTTTCCAYTGACCATGAAAATGCGCAAATTAGAATTTCGGAAAAAAATTCTCAATGGAAACACGTCAATTTTGAAAAAACTTCCTTTTTTCGACAAAATGTTTTTGCGCTAGGAAGAGGTGGTTTTTCGGCCGCATCGAAATTGGTGTATTTCGCAAAACTGCAATAGAAACACTTTTTTCGCATCACAGGAGTCACGTTATCAACAACCGGCTGTTTCTACTGGCGAAAAAAACGACGAAGAAGACAACAGGAAGTAGAAGTAGTCATTCAAGTCACCGAAGTTGTAAAATAACGTAGTAAACTCACCGACTACAATTTCCCAAAAACGCAGCATAYGTAGCCGCTCCCAAGTATAAGGGGCTTGTCTCTGGAAAGCCTCGATAAAAGACGTCGACATCTCCTCTAATGATGAATGCTAGTGTCGTGGTAGCAATATGCTATGTGTTTACATCCACTGCCGCCATGTTTGTAATGACTTATCGTGAGAAAAAACGTATTCACGCGTGACTTTAATAGCATTTCTTACTTAATGGAAACACTGCAATTGCGAAACTGTGTTTTTTCGACATTAACAGAATACCAACAAAGTTTTGCGCACATTTGCAATGGAAACGCAGCTAGTGTTGTGTTGGGTGAAAAGTCCACGCAGCCCAGTCGGACCACAAAGCACTTTACCCTAACAGTCATTCACCCATTCTCACACTGATGGTGGTAAGCTACAATGTAGCCACAGCTGCCCTGGGGCACACTGACAGAGGCGGGGCTGCCATGCACCGCCRCCACCRGACCCTCTGACCACCATCAATRGGCAAGGCAGGTAAAGTTTCTTGCCCAAGGACACAACAACTGAGATGGCTGGAACGGGGGATTGAACTGGCATCCTTCCACTTACGGGACGACTCCCCTAAACACTCCACCACAGCTGCCCCATCATCATAAAAGTTATACCTCGCTATGAAAATGATCAATACAAACCAACCCCACAAACTACACAAAAGACTAAATCTTTGTACCTCCAGCAGCCTTGGCAACATTTCATTTCTACCTCAACATAATTAAAGTAGATGTTTTATGATGATGAGTCATCAGGGTCTTTGTTAAAGCCATCCCTTTTTGTCTACATGAGTGAATTAGTTTCTCTCACTCTGCGTGGGTGATGTTCCTCCAGCGAGACTTGGTGGGTTTTGGAGGYGGAGCTCCTTGAGTCTCCCCCGACATGAACATGTCCGGGGGCAGTTTGATGTTCTGGTAGTCTTTGGCCAGGGTGAGGAGGGGGTAGCGGCTCGGGTGGCACTCCGGCAGGGACAGACGCATGTCTGTGTCTTCCGCCTGAGGACAGAGCATAAACATGTGCACAACGCCACACAAACACATAGTTCAGAGGGTCCGCGCTCACTGAGCTCAATCTAAAATCAGTCCAATCTCAAACAGGGATAAAAAGAAAAGAAAAACAGCAGAAAGTCTGCATTCATACAAAAAAATGGATACTTTTATTTTTTGGATCAACGCATTCACTTCAGGCAGGACTCACCTTCAAGCTGAAGCGGGTATGGCAAATGGTGGGAACGAACTCGTTGAAAGGCAGAGTGAAGTCTATATTGAGCGTCTCGCCGCAGGCTGCCAGGTACACTGTAGACAATCAATCAYGCAATTGATTAGTGCGCCTGCCTCAATATTCAAAGGAGTGCAGACGTACTATACGACGCATCATGTCTTCATAGAAGGCAAAATAATCCATTCGAGCGAGCAGTTTCCAAATTCTGTTCAATATTTCCTAATTCAGTGGATATTTTCATGTAGCACAGAATCTGTCTCACCGTTCTCCTGCTGCTTCGTGGAGCAATCGATCCAGTTGTGCTGATTTGCTGCCCAGATCATCTCAAACTGGTGGAATAAGATCTTAAACTTCCAGGAATACGGCACAAAGGAGTAGATATCAGGGGCGCTGTCACTTGCCCAGTCCTTTATTAAATCTACGAAGACAGAACGAGCGGTAATTGTTTTATTCACCAACAAGTGATAACTTGTGTTGTTTGTACTTCGATCGCTCCACTTGCCAGTGAAGAAGTTTTTCTGAGCGTAGATGAAATGGTACGTGGCCTTGTACACCTCGATCTCACACTGCCACGACTGGGGCATGTTCCACACCCGGGGGTAGCTGGCTATRACGTGGAACTAAAGCGAAGGCAGAGACACGCTTTCAACACACTGAACGTGTTCGGAAAGAAGCACCGTCCTCCTCCTACTTACAGCTAACATCTCAGCCTCCAGAAGAGTCCTGTACTGCATGCTGCTGGTGGTGTCCACGTGAAGCAGCTGACCTTTAATGGTGGGAGAGTAACCTGAGGGCACAAATACAGGCAAAAAAAACAACAACTTCTTGAAAATGGTTCATTTTTACCAACAATAGCTGAAGCTTCACTGCATCTGAGGACAGAGCAAACCTGCTCTGTCATAAATCACTGCAGAAATCTCTGTGTGGAACTGATGGCTTTAAATGTTTATAAGTGATCTTTATGTTGTGTTACTGAAGCAACACAATGTGGAGGATTGGTAGTTCTGTAGAATAAAACCTCATCACACTTTGCAGGTTATTTACAACCTTTGTTTGCTTTAGAGCCCATAAAGACAACAAAAAGTGCTTCCTCTGCTCTATTGAGATGCAGTACCTAAAATTTACCCTCCATTTTTTTCCCCTACACTGTAGCTTCATGCCAGTTTTGTCTCCTCTGTCTTGCTAATAAAATAAATGGGTGAAACTGTTGTGCAGATTTATAATGAGCACTGGTTGGATGCTTTGACGCCCTGTGGAACGGTGAGTAACAGTTTCCAGGAGCTCCTAGCAGCTGGATCGTGGACTGGCGGTTTAAGCTGAGGCTGAATAAAATGAGCGTGAAAGAGCAGAGATGTGGGCAGCCTGTTAGAGGTAGCAGCTCGGAGRAAAAAAATGGTGTAAATAAGCTGAGCTGAGAAGAAAAATGTGTTCCTGTTTTTCTTTTTAAAATAAACGTGGGCACATCGACAACATATAAAAGTATAAATTCTGTATCAGTCAGTTATTTTGGAGCTTTTGATTTTGTAGTGAATAAACTTGTAAGTAGAACAAAACCAGAGGTAAGTAGGTAACCAAGTACATTTACTTTGTTACAGTACTTAAGTAATCTTTTTGAGGATTTGTAATTTTACCAAGTATTACTTTTATTTTACTACATTTAAAACCTAAACATAATGATACATTACCTTCTTTATTGCAAAAATTTAACCACTAGTTGCTCATTACAAAATTAAATTTGTTCAAACTCATCATAAAAAGGAGTTGTTTACGCGCTCTAAAAAATTAAGTGTTGGTTTTATTCAACCAAGTCATGTCAACGTGTTCCAATAAACCTAGTATAGTAAATATGAAACAMTATAAATATTTTCTTTAAAAGAAAATATGTATATTGCTTAATTTACTCAAATYGGTTTAGTAGAACCAGTTTGGTTCAGCAAATTCAACAGTTTATTTCTCCAGTGTGTAAAAGTATTTTTACTTCTACTTTCTTGATTTTTGTGAACAGTTTTACAAGTTTTACTTAAGTACTTTTCTCATCAGTGATTTTTTTTTACCAAAGTCATTTCCTGTTAAGGTATTTTTACTTTTACTTAATTATTTTTCCCCCCCAAGTACTTAACAGACCTCTGAACAAAACATGATGATTTAATTATYTGTCATGTGGCTAATATTTAGATGCACATATTCTATATTTACAATGACATCAATTAAAATTTATTTTTAACCAATGATGTATTTGTCCCATAACATCAAACTGAGGATTAATTTAGATTTGGTGAAAAYGACCTCAGCACATTTTCAGATTTCTGCTTTTGAAGCCACAGTTTGACACCTGGATCATCCTAATATCAYGAAGGGTTCCAGAATTATGCCTCCATTTGTCTTCCTGATCAGGATCACTCATTGATATTTAGTCTATAACCTGTTTTTAATATTCTAATGAGGAACTGTTCATGTCATTTTAAAAGAGGAAACTTCAAATAGAAATTGGATATTAAGATTTCCAAACTGGGAAGAACAAAAGCTTTGTTAGCTTGCAGGGAAAATCAAACATTTTAAAACATTTTTGCTTTAAAAATGGCTTCAAACAAATCTTTAAGATTATATTTCAAACAGCTCATTCAAAAGATCCACTGATAAGGTACTTTTTTCATTTATATTTTGACAAAATGCAATTATTGCAAACGTTTCAATCAATGCGCTGCCTATTTCTTCACATTCCACTTTTGGGATTTAACCTTTGGTTTGATGTGACGGATCAAATATATGCTCTGTTTGATACAAAGATATGAAAGAAGTAGTTTATTTGTACAAAAATCAGTACCAATTTTAAGCTAAAGACTAAATCATTCAAAGAAGAAAGAGGAAATTAATGCTGATAAAGACCCTCCGTTGAGAAAAGAGCTGGACATTTTTGCTAAATGTCTTCAAGAAAATTCAGATTTCTAAAAGTATTTTAAATAGTTTGCAGTTTTTACAGCTGTACAAACACCAACAGACCTGCAATCTTTTAACATCCATCACTCCTCTGCTGTTTGTCAGGGCCAAAGCCTCATATTCTCACAGTTAGGGACTATTCTGGTCCTTCCTACACAATGTGGAGTTCAACACCTACACTTTTCACTTTTGCCTGTTTCTGCCCAAGTCATCTGCTTGCCCACTTTTTTTACGTGTTATTTTTTTGCAGTAGCTGGAGTCAAAGCTGAAGATAAACCTGCACTTTAATGCAAGCCAAGAATTTTACTGACCAGGTTTTCTTTGGTTTAATATTCTGCAATAGTTTATATAACACTCAGCTCAATATGCTCATAAAAATATATTTTCACTTAAATAAAATGTATGCTTCACTCAGAGATTCCTGTATTCTCAAAAAAAATTAAAATATAAACGTTAATGCTGTAATTAAGATTTTAAATTTTCTGAAAATATTAACGCGCACAAAATGTATTACATAAATAAAAATCTAAACCCAACATGAGCTGCTTAAATCATCTGTTGATTCAGAAGTGAAATGGGTATTTTTATTCTATGTTCTTATCTGGCTTTAAATAAAATCCTGTATTCATTGTGGAAATAAAACATATTAAAACCAGATGAGGCGCTTCTGCGTGTCTAAAGTTAAACACGAGGCGGACGTTTKCCGATTTTAGAGCTGACATTTTTCCATTAATCACCTTTCTGTGAAACACACTTACCATCTTCTCCMACAGTCATGGGGATGTTGACTTCCAGGTAAGAGCCTGCTCCCACGTTCACATGGATGGCATTGGTTTCCTAGTAACAGCAGTGAAGATGGAGCAGGAGAGAGAAAGCAAACAGACTCGTCACACAAGATGTCTGATGATTAGAGATGGCTTTACAGCCTAAAAATAAAAAGASTCACCTCGTCTGTTCAAAAGCAGCAATAAAAGGATGTTTTTTTTCTGTTTCAAGCCATTTCCTCTCTTTATTCAACAYGCATTAATGCTAGTTTTCAATATGACTTTCTCATCATTAGCTTGAGAATAATAAAAAAAGTGTTCAAGGGAAAAACGAAAAAGAATAAAACATGAACCGATCTCAATGAGTGGAAATGGTGAGGCGTAAAGAGAAAGATGAGGCGTGCAGCGGCGAGAAGAAGAGAGATCAAAGCGGCTGACAAGAAAGAAAGGAAAGAGTCACCCTGTTTTTGGTGAAAAGCAGGTCGATGGTGGCGTCAGCAATGATGTTCATGCGGAGTTCGAAGGCTTGAATCTGTCTGGGTTTCCCTGGCTGGGCAACCTCCGTCACCTTCATGGGCTGATAGTCGGCAGGAATAAAGAACTTCCAAAGACAATCCCTTAGAGACAGAAATATACAGTATATATACAGTATATATATAT